TTATTATTATATTGTGAGTATGTAATAATGCACACTACAAGTATAATATACCAATTTTTAAAAAAGGAATAATATAAAAAGATGACACAGCTCTACACTTACAGATGTGAAACTATTGTCCATGACATATTATGGAAAGGTTATGAAACACCAGATAACATTACTCCCATTAAATAAGTCATTGCTTCTTAGAAAACAAAATGATGCTCTTTCACTTTTAAAAATATAAAATATTCTACTTTAAATAGTCCATTCAAATAGTTTAAAACCAAGGGAATTTGTGTACCACTAAATGTTTTCATTTTTGCTCTAAACTTATTTTTTAATAWAYATATATATATATATATATATATATATATATATATATATTGCCAATGGACCTTTATTTTATTTATTTATATGTGGTGTTGAGAACCAAACCCAGCGCCTCCCACATGCTAGGCAAGTGCTCTACCGCTGAGCTATAACCCCAGCCCACTCCAAATTTATTTTTAATTGAGTTTGCTCACTGATACTCAAAGTTAGCATTTGAATTTTGATGACTTACAATTTTTTAGCCAGATGTGGTAGCACACACCTCTAATCCCAGTGACTCAGGAGGTTGAGGCAGGAGGACCAGAAGTTCAAATCCAGCTTCAGCCACTTACAAGTTCTTAGGCAACTTAGCGAGACTCTGTCTCAAAATATAATATATATATTTTTAAAAAAGGACTGGGTTGTGGCTCAGGGGTTAAGAACCCTTGGGTTCAATCCCTGGTACCAAAAAAACATCTATATCTCTACTATAGATATTTTATACAAATGAGATATTTAAGTTACATGTTAACATCCACCTCTACTATGTATTCTTACGTTCTTCAATTGGATATGATAAAGTGTTTATACCTCTTTCCACAGGAAGGAAACAGAGTATATGGAATAAATGGGTAAATGTTAACATTAACAGTATTTTTTGTTGCTAAAAAATAAAGATGAGATACTTTAAAATCTCTCTGGTTACCTGTCTAGAAAAAAAAAAAAAGTTATTTTGAGATGGGTGTAGATGAAATCTTAGAACCAAGAACAAAGGTTTCTGTCTCACCCTTCTCAAGATGAATTCATGTAGGTACACACAGCCCCGGAGACAAATCACTGGAATCATAAAGAAAATCATCTTTGAAACAAAAGGAGGTGAAATCTTGGTTGCTACATGTATTCACTCACACGTTTAAAAACAAGGAGGTGAAATCTTGGTTGCTACATGTATTCACTCACACGTTTAAAAACGTATGGCCTGTTTATGAAGTTCCCAAGAGAACTTTCTTTAAGATAATGAGAWTTAAGAGTTTAAATTGAGAACATTAACATATAAAAAATATGTCCATAGATCTCTTTTAGATCATACTGAGAAGTTCTAGTATAAGTTTAAAGTTCATATCCATTGAACACAGGTTGGTTATTAACCTCAGACAAAAATAGACACTCTAAATGTATATTTATGTATATAATATTTATATGTTATACTTATATTTTAAGAATACTGAAAATGTGACACTTAAACTTCGAAGTCCAAGTGTTATTTACAGACCATCAGATGAACATCACACAGAGTTTTTGAGAAATCAGCCATGCCCCATACCTGCTGACACAGAATCTGCATTTTAATAAGACTCTCTGGTGATTTGCATACCCTTTAAAAATTGAACCTTGGAAGCCCTGGGCAACATGACCATTATTTTTTTTTTCTGCATTTTGTTCTAGAAGACAAATTTGTCTGCTAATTAAAACCATGATGTATAAAACTATTAGTTTAATAATGCTCAAATTTTGAACCAGATTTAAATATTCTAACCAGATACCAAGACCATCCAATAGTCATTAAAACTTTCAAAGGGGACAAAAAAAAAAAAAAGCAATCTGTTCCTTTATTATAGTGGGCATACAATCAAGGTGAAAATGTAAACATTGTTCCAAATAACACCATAAGTGTCACTTGTTCAATATAAATTTATAATCTAAAATGGTAAGTCGTTCTAATTTCACATGATATATACATGACCATGAAATAGACAATCATTAATTATTTYAGTAATGATTTAAGAACTTCCTTAAAAATTTTAAGAACTCTCCAAGATACTTTTATTGACATGAAATATCTCTGTTCTACATCTGCTCTTTTATTTATTTTTTAATATTTTATTTATTTATTTTTCAGTTGGACACAATATCTTTATTTATTTTTATGTGGTGCTGAGGATCGAACCCAAGGCCTGGAATACACTAAGGCACGTGCTCTACCGCTGAGCCACACCGCCAGCCCCTCATCTGCTTTTTTAAACTTCTTATTTCAATTCTGCCTTAAATCCTGGAGGAATCTAAGACTATTCATGCATGACAAGTCATTTGAGGAATTCTCCCTCCTGAACTGATATTTGATTTAGGCATCCAGGGAAGAAGGGGCTCGGTCTCCCCTCATTGCCCCTGCACAGGAACCAGGAAGAAACAAACTTGAGCTGGTTATAACTCAGTGCTAGAGCACTTGYTTATTATGTATAAGGTCCTGGGTTCCATTCCCAGCACCACAAAAAAAGGAAAAAAAAAAAAGAACTTGATTGATAAAAAGAAATAAAGAGTTAAGGTGTAAAAAGAAATATGACTTTGGCTATCTACCACTTTAGCCTCAGCTAAGGATTCTAATAAGGTAAGTAAATTGCTCCATCTTCAAAGACAACTGTTTTCACTGAAAATAATATAAATTCCTTGTAAACTAGAAATAGTAACTACATGGAATAAAAGATTACCTGCTACCTCAGGGCTGCTGGAAATCTGAGAGTTTTCCATATGTATTCRGTCCTGTTGCAAGATAATGTTATTGAATATATGAATGCATACACACACGTAAACATATAYAAATACATTGACATACATGCACATTACTTACAATTAACCTCATAGAAACAAAGCATCCTTGTAGAAAACCACCTACACATTCCCAAATCTTCATAATTTAAAGTAAACAGTAAGGACACATTAGAATTGAACTGAAAAATCCCTTAACTGAAATCTGTTATTTTAAAAGCGCTCAAAAGCAGCCATGGGGCTAGTATTTACAAGACCATTATACATACAGAGCACAGTACAAATAGATCTTTACTTACAGCCATATTGGCTATCATTTCACATGTCATTTAAAATAGGAAACTTTATTTCCTAATTATAGAACCAAATTTTTGTAACAATAACATGTTAAAAAGCACTTTTTCCTTTGCCCCCACCTCCAGCATTGTGCAAAGAAAGAGCAAAACTTAGGCTTTGGAAAACTCAACTTCGAATTTGGGATCTACCCTGTGGCTTTGTAGACTTAGCACATTTCTTATCCTTTTCTCCTACTCTTACTTTTCTGACCTGCAAAAGTGTGTTTCTGTGACTACAGCTAAAGAGCAGGTAAAATTTCAAGCAGGGGGCTTAGAACCCRTTATGTTGTCTATAGCAGTTCATATTGTCATCCTTATAATTCTCACTATTGAAATATGCAAATGGGAGCCACAATTCCTACGAARGCATCATTTATTGCTTTAAACCTCCTTATCAATATTCCCCAACCCATGTCAAAACACTTACCTTGTCACTTCTCCCACAGAGAGACATTATTAAATTTTAAGTGACTAAAAATGAACAGACTCATCATATTCAATCTACCAAGTCTATCCAATGTTCAAATATATTTTAAAGGCATCAACTTGATTAGGTTGATCATACGGCAAGATGCATTGAAAATCCTTTATCATTTCTAAAATATTTCAGTCCCTCTCCCACTTCCCTATGTAACCTCAGGGAGGAGACACAGATTCAAGTAGAAGATTTAGTCACACTTGTGCTAATGAAGAGGCTTTGGAGAGATAGTATCAGCATAGAGGCTGCTGGAATGATCCTAAGACCACTATGAGCATAATATTCGGAACAAACCAATGTAGTTCAATTATTACAAACAACCCCTCCCCAAAGGCCCTGAAATACTAGTGGGAATGCTGTGGGAATGTTGATGAGCTGTCTAGATATTCTTCTCTGGTTACATAGACACAGCTATAATTTCATTACAAATAAAGGAACAGTAACTGTGTCTTCATCTCTTTACACTAACAGAAATGACATGCAGTCTCAGTGACTTTAAAGTATATTTAAAGTCAAATTTTTCTATGCAATTTCCTAAGGCAATCTTTGCTTTCYGAAAACAGGCAATACAATTTTTATTGCATTCAAGTTTGTGTGTGTGTGTGTGTCTATATCTAAAAAGAAGGAAGAATTCAAATTTAACTTTTCATGAATAACCATGTGATTATTCTGCTTRTGAACTCACAGGTTATAGTAGATACATACCACAGTCATGTATGTATGTTGTACATTCACAAACTTAATCATTAAATAGGAGACCACCTGTTTCAAATGTATTCTTTGCTACAGACAATATAAAAAGAAAAACTTGTTCTATTCAATTCTATTTATCTCAATCAAGAATAACCACTAATATATTCTTAAAGAGAGATAGGAAAGGTGATGTTTGCATAATTCATGATAGCTTCACATTAATTTATTTTTCAGAACATATTAAACTTATTCTGCTTTCAATAGTTATCATTAATAATTTTTGTTTTGATTCCCTAAAACTATCATACTTTAAGAAACTACAATAGTGGGTCTAATCAATCCTATTTCATGTATAATTGATTTTAGAATGGATGTACTGAAAAATGACTCTCTTAATTCTAGATTCGAATGGCAACATTTGAAACTAGTGGTCTAACACAGGAAACCATGCAGAATGAGTCACAGCATTTATAGAAATTGCAAAGTAATTCTTATTAACAGTAATCACTCAAAGGAAACAAAGAACGAATCAGAATGAGTTCATGGTTTCAGAGTTGGTAACTCATTATTAAGTTTATGTTACAAGAAACAGGYTCCTTCTAAGCATAATTATGTAAATAATTTTTGTTGGCTTCAAAAAGATCATATGCTGTTGAATACATGCAATGTTGAAAGTCTACCTTGATTTTTTAAAAAAAGAAAATTCAGAAAAAGTAATTCCTTCTCCATTTTCCTTAATAACTCAGATTTATTTTAAAGTCCAGGTAAAAACCCTGGAACTTGTTTATTTAAATTAACATCGGGGCCATGTCATACCCTTTCCTTTCCCACATACCACCATATAAAACAAAAACCACACCCCCAAATATAAAATAAAACAAAATCCTTGTCCCAAAACAAGAAGTAATGCTGAGCAGTCAACAACTTTTTTGAAAAAGTGACAACACTGGTAACATCATTTTCACTCGGTCACTTAACTCATTTAAATGATGTCATTGCTTCACCAATGCTAAGTATTCCTGCGGCTTGACAGAGAATCCAATGCAAAGAATTTAAGGGAGCACATCAACCATTGGGTGGGCAGTGGAAGTGCTTGCCATAGGCAGTGTCCTTCTAGGTGGAAGGCTGCTACACATCACTAGGCGATCGTGCCCTCTGGGACAGGCTGGTTGGGATGCAGCCGCAGCAGATGAGGCAGAGGGCTTTCTGGATCTCTTGGTTTCTGAAAGCATATATAACAGGATTGATGATGGAATTGTAGGTGGCAGGCAGGAGAGTAGCGTAGGTATAGATGGAAGGATAGGTGTAATCTGCTATCAAGGAATAGAGGGTGAAAGGCATCCAGCAAGCAGCAAATGTCCCAAGGATGATAGCCAGGGTGGAGACCCCTTTCCGGGTGGTCACATAGTGTGATGTGGCCAGGAAGTGGTGTTGCAGGGCTATCTGATGGGCGTGCCTCATCACAATCTTACAGATCTGAATGTAGAGTTGAAGCATCAGTGCAAACATAAAGAGGAAAGAGACGGAAAGAATGGCTGCGTTGTTCTTGGTGAGAGGTCTGACCACGCTGCAAGTGGACTCGTCCCGCAGGCAGTTCCAGCCCATGACAGGCAGTAGCCCCAGGCAGATGGAAGTCCCCCAGAGCATGACCAGCATGACATAGGTAAATGTGACCGTCCTTTCGGAATGGTACGTCAGAGCGTAATACAGCGAGAGGTAGCGGTCAACAGTGATAGCCAGCAAGCTGCACACAGAGGCGGAGAAGGAGGCGACAATGAGTCCGATGGTGACCAGTTTGGTGGCTTCTGACTGAAGCAGGTAGGCAAAAACAAAATTGATGATGAGTCCAATGCCAGCCAGCAGGTCTGCAAGAGCCAGACTGCCTATCAGCAAGAACATAGGTGCTCGCAGGCTAGGGTTGTGGAAGATGATAAGGACCACAATGGCATTTTCACAGGAGATGAGGGTTCCTGAGGTACACAAGACAATGTCCCAGGGGTTGACTACGAGCTCAGGCTCTGACTCTACAACCGGAACCTGGGAGGAGACAGCGGCTGAGACGTTCTCGTTGGCACCGGCATCTAAATAATCCCGAGGCAGCCCGCTTAAATTGACCTTCAGGTCTTCATTCATTTTAACCCCTGTCCTCTTCAACGAAAAGACAGGCTTTTTAATGTTTCGGTATAGCAGGGTGACAATCCACGATCATGCAACACACACACACACACACACACACACACACACACAGAAAGCCAGCCCCTACTCAGATACCAGTATCAAATGCCACAAGCTTTGGGAACTGTACACTGGTGACTTAAAACAAAAGCCAAAGTCTCCGTGGATTAAACCCCACAACAAAAATGCTGTTTGGCATTGGGGAAAACACAGGGTAGGACTTCAAAACACGAGCGTGAGCGATGTGGGCACACACGGACTCGCAGCGGTCTGTTCGCCAAAGCGCTGGGAATGCACATTTGAGAATCACATCTTGCATGCTGAAAATGAACAACTGTTTCACATCTGGGCAGCTGCTCAAAACACCACGCGGCAGCCGCAAGTCGCGAGTCGGGGACCGCCATCCTCGATGGAATGTTTAAATGGCCTCGAACTCCCACCTTCCAAAATCATCCCTCGCGCGCGTGCACACCCTCAAACACACACCCCCACCAGAACAAAGAGGGGGTCCCAGACTCCCCGCAGTGTGCACGGGGCAGTCGGGGAGGACCACAAAAGGCAGGTGTATGCAATGGAGGTGCTGAGACAGACAGACAGACGGATGCCCATGCATTGCCGCTGCTCCCCTCGCGGCGGGGGAGCGCGGCGGACGCGAGAGTGACAGACAGGGCACGGGTACTGACGGCCCGCAGGGGCGGGGGGTCATCGAGGGGGTCACCTTGGCACGCCCAGATCGAGGGGTGTCCTCTGGTGCTTCCAAAGAGCGCGGGCTACTCGTGTGGCATGTCGGCGCTGGTGCCCGCAGCTGCGAGGGGCGGTGGCCCCGCTCCGGAGTGGGCCAGAAGGGCGCGGGGCTCGAGCTCCACAGCAGGTGAGCTGCACCGTGGCAGGTGAGCGGCGGGCTGGGCTCTGGAGCCCAGCTCTCCCTACAACGCCCGCCCTGCCGCACGCTCACAGCGCGCGCGCGCCCCGGCCCCCGCCTCGTGCGCGCCCGCCCGCGGGAGCCCCGGGAGGCCGCGCGCGCCCTCACAAGTCTGGGCTACGCGGGGGCGCGGGCAGGCGAGGGCTGCCCAGGGCGTAGGGCGCACACAGACAGCAGGCTGAGAATTGCACGGTCACCCTGCCCGCCTGCTGCGCCCTGCACCCCATCCCAGCTGGCGGCTCAGGGCCTGCGCCCCTGCGGGACAGGAGAGAGAGCGCTTCTCGAGAACCCTGTGACCTATTTCGTTCCTGTGGTTTCCCTGGAGAGTCCTACAATCTCTCGGKGCCCGACTTTTCAGCTCCTTAAACTGCTATAGTTATGGCAGAAAGAATTGCTTAGGGTGATGCTGTATTCAGGATCAGCACAAGGGGTGCAGAGTTTCCATGTTAGGGAGGCAGATCCTTAAAACAGCAAATACTCAGGGAGCTCTTTTTAGAATTGTAGTTATCCACATTGTAAAGGAGTCCTTTTCCTTAGTTGTTTTCTGGACCTTGTTTGTTGTTATTGTTCCCAGGGAACATATGCTTAACTGGATATATGCTGCTGCTACATGGATCATCATTATTATTTCCGAATTGCACTTATTGTGTGCTCCTTGAGCTGTGCTTTCAAATGTAAATGATTTACAAAAACTCATTTTTGCAGAAGCTTCCTGTGGATGCTGGCCAAAACCAGATTGATTTAGGTGCTGCAGTGGCACTGTTAATTTATTGTTTTCACTTCGCCACATCAATCAACTCTAAGATTAAGGACCTAATAGTAGCTGTCTAATTTTAAGAGCCCACGTCTCTAAGATTAAGGACCTAATAGTAGCTGTCTAATTTTAAGAGCCCACGTCTCCTCTAGATTAAAACAACAACAACAACAAACAGCATYTCATAGCTCTTAAATTTAAATATGGTCTCCCAGTTTAAAGATGTGAGAAAGAAAAGGCATAATATTCTGTGTGAATACAGATGGTGTGCAGGTCCTGGGATCCTGGAAATCTTGCCTACAGAGGCATAATCCCAGGACTCATCTGCCTCCCCCTCCTGCTTACTGTCATTTCTACTGCAATCCAGCAGACTCAGTCTCAACTTCCTGGACTCTCTCTCCCKTCTCTTTCCTTCTCCGGTCAGTTTCTAACTCCAAAGTTGTCACAGCTTTACTTGCACCTCAGTCTATCAGCTTCACCTCCTCAGTTGCAGCTGTCCTCATCCCTCACTTCTTGTATCCAACCATTTCTCTCTTTCCCACCCACAGCTACACACGGCTGCAGTTGTGTGGCTCCTCAATTTGACACATCTCTTCCAAGCCATCTAAGACCTCCCACTTCCTCCAAAATAGTCTGAACTTTCCACCTTTACAAATCCGCTTTGGATCATTCAGGCTTTTGTTTTGTGGTTTGTCTCACCATATCCCTCCACAGACTCTTTCTGGGTTTTCTATTCCCTAAGACAGCACTTCTCAAACTTTGTTTTTCATACAAAACACCTGGTTTACAAATCAGTAATTCAGAAGTGAGGGCCAGATTTTGCATTTGCAGCCCTCTTTCCCAGGGATGTTAATGCTATTGGTCCCTGGATCCTCTTAAAAAAAAAAAAAGGTTCTATGGAGTGTTAAGAGTCACTTTTGCATGGTAGCTAGATATCAGACATCTGTTCAACAGAAGAGCTTTGTGTTAAAAGGTGAATGCACAAATGCAGTAAGACATGGTCTCTGTGCTCACAGGCATGAACGATCTGGTGTGTACACACACACACACACACACACACACACATCTATAATAATACCAGGCAGCAAATGCTGTATTGAAGAGATACATAACTGCCCCTCAATTTCCATGTGATAAATAAATAAATTTTAGAATAAAGCAACAAAAATGAGCAACTTTAACATATACATAGCAGTTTCAACAGAATATGGTTCCACTTCTAAGATTTTAGAAGCCTCACATTGGCAGTAGAGTTCAGGCAAGGTGGACATTCATAGTCAATCACACTGAGATGGGCCCTGACCTCACAGAGATTTCAGGAGTGTAAATTACTCTTTAATGTGTCTGGGAAATAAGATAAAAGCAGTGAGGGCTGGGGAAGAAAAACAGGTATTGAAGTAGATGGCAGAGGCTTATGAATTTTTGCAGTAAAACCTGGGAAGAGATAAAGGAAGGAACTGAGGAAACATACACTTGGGGCTTGGATACATGAACATAACACATGAACTGGCAGCTAAGAGAGTGAGGATGCCCAGCTCCTCCAGGTGGCCGACATCAGCTGTAGTGACTGCTCTGTGGCCTTAGCTCTTCCCCTCAAATGATTACTTGTAACTTTTGCTATACTCCTGCTTCCATGTTTATTGGTGTGTTTGTTAAATCTTTTGTTGCCAAGGGGCAGAAATCCAATTCAAACTACTTATGAAAAAAGGCCTTTTCTTGTCTGCCATGACTGAGAAAGATCCAGAGTGACTCATGAGGAGGAAGGAGAATCTACAAGAAGCAGGTGCCCTGTACCTGGTGGTCAGTTCCTCCCTGATTTATTTCTGCTTGTTTTTGTCTCTAGGTCTGAAGCCCTCATGCTTTCCTATATCAGGTTTCCTCCATGAATCCATGAAAAGTGGCCCTCGGCAGCCCCAGGCTTGCATTTGAGACCATCTTCCTTACTTGTGGAGTGGAATTCAAGGAAGAACCCTGGCATGAGCTGCGCTATGTGCCCAGCTACCAGCCAACCACTGTGGCCAATGGGATGAAAGAGATCAGTTGGCCAGGCTGGGGTAGTGTATAGAGTCCTGTGATGGAAGTCTGCTATASTTTGGGTGTTGAATGTTCCTCAAAGGTCCATGTGTTAAAGGTTTGGCTCCTAGGGTGGTGTTCTTGGGAGKTGATGGAATCTTTAGAAGGTGGGCCTAGTGGGACGTCCTTAGGTCATCGTGGGGTAGTGTGATCTTGAAGGGACTTATGGGACTCCAGCCCCTTCTTTGTTCTCTTTGCTCCCTGGATCATGATGTAAGCAATTTTGCTCCACCRCATACTTCTGCCATCATGTGCTGTTTCTTTGCCTCAAGACCAAAACAATAGAGTCAGAAGATCTTGGACTGAACCTCCAAAACTCTTARCCAAAAAAAATCTTTTCTCTTTTGAGTTAATTTTCTCAAGTATTTTGTTATAGTGATGAAAAGCTGACTGACACAATTCCCCATTTGAACTTCACCAAATGAGCATGATTTTCCAGAGGAAAAAGTAAATTGGGATACCAAGTAGGCAAAATCCAGTGTGTCCTCTGCAGTCTGGAACCAGGTGGGCAGATCCAGATGTCTTACACAGTCTTCAGTAATGAGATGCATAAAGGAGTTGTCTGCAGAGCTGTCTTCTCAGTTTAGTCACTGCCCATCATGGAACACTGTAGCAGATGCCCTCAGTATGTGATGCCTTTTCAACAATTTTTTTTTTCACTTGTTTGGTAACTTCAGCAAGAGGTTGTAAACCTTCCTGTATGGTGTGCTACTTTCACAACCTATACTAACGGTTCTTGTTTTGTGTGAGAAAGTTTCTTTGTGTGTCTTAATCATGAATAACATCTTTGCCATATCATAAAACTGCAGGCCCTCCTGAATTTGTAAATGTGAGGGCATCCCAGATTTTTAATAGAAGCAAGAAATAAACAGAAGCAGTATGGAACAGTGTATGCTACCTATGCTAAAATTTTATTAGTCGGCTTCTTTCTTGCTTGGTATAATGATTACTAGTCATTTTGCATAGATTTGATTAATTGCTGCACTCTTTGAACCAGGATTGTTCATGCTTTAGTCTTCATCCAAGGGTATAGATCACACCTGACAATAATACATGATCCCAAATTAAAGTTTAATTTACTTCTTTGTCATATAGTAAATTTATAAATGACTTATAGAAGAGTGCAAATTTTGCAAATGTACAGTAGGATGAAGTTTTCCCAGATAAATATACACATGTAACCACTTCTTGAGAAATAGAACATTCGTAGAATCATAGCCTCTGAACAGGAGTCCCCTGTGTTTCTTCTTTGCTAGCAAAACAATAAATTGTCTTTTTCCTTTTTCTCAAAACCGTGTCCTCATTATTGGATTGGCATCAGGGACAAGGACTGAGCTTTAAGCAACAAATTTGGAACCTCAGGTGGGGCCTGAGAGCAGCTCCTGCTCTAGCTTGCTTTGGGCAGGCACGGCTGATGGCTGTCCAAGGAACCCCACTTCCATGCTGAGCATGCAAGGTACTGGCGAACTTGTGAGAGCCAACTGCAGGAGAGTTAGGTGAGTTTGCCTTGGTCAAACCAGAGGAGCTATTCCTGTGAGTAAAGGAGGGACTGAGGGACTGTCCCAGCAGCTGCAGAAGCTCCTTTTGCTTCAGGGAACTCCTGTCTTCTCTCCCTGAACAATACAGGATGTTCCACTACGGTCCACTTTGAGAAAAAGAAGCTGAACTCAGTAAAGTCATGACACCCTTGGCCATTTGGTAAGTCCCCTAGTGTGTACGCCAAGGCCCTTGATTCCACACATCTGATTCCTCTTCACGAGAACATCTGGTTCCTCTTTGTGGGGACATCTGCAGCACCACTGGTGAAGGAGTCATGGTTAAGCAGGACTCAAGAACCTAGCAATATTTATTCCTTTCTGATCTGTTCTAGGTTCTCATGGCCTTGGGTTTGGGAATTCCCTCTGGTTGTTTGTCTGTGGTTTTGTTTTGTTTGGATCTGTTACTGCCCCTTTTAATACAGGGCCAATACTGCATTGATCCTCTAGGTAGTCTCTTGGGAAAGATCTTGACTGGTCAATTTAAAGGTTCCTGTATGTTGGCCATGGTTTAGGGGCTCTTTTATGGTTGTCTCTGTGTTTCTTTTTTGTACAATCTTGAAATTGGAGTTGGTCTTTCAGAGGCAAAGTAAATTGAAAGACCACCTACAGGTATATAAGCCTGTCTGAGATG